GCAAGGAAAACAAAACCCCACAAACATATGAATTAAAAAGAAAAAGAAACAAAATTCATATTTTTCATGTAAAAAGACTGAAGGTTAAAGTAAAAGCTCCTAAAAAGAATCCAAAATAGAAAAAAAAAAAATTTAGAATTGATATTAGAACACAGTACAACTGCTGTATACAAGATCAATATACAAAATTTAATTATATTTCTAAATATAGGCAAATAGGAAAAGAAATAATCACATAAAACAATCATATACTATTTGTTTCCTATAAACTCCAACCATATCTGGTCTTCCTTCAATTGATAACTATAAACTCTACACAAAATACAAAAGCAAACAAACACAGGCCTGATAGTAATAAAAGCGAAAATACAGGCTTGTTTTTACAAGGAAGTTAACACTTGGGAGATGACACCAGCTTAGGGTGAACTTTCCATTTTTATGGCTTTTGAGGACAGCTACTAGTAGGGCCATGAGCAAGGCTAAAATACCAATAAAAATCTCATAGTCCTTATGACTTGAAGAACCATGCTAGAATTCTGAGCGACCACAGCCACTAGAAGATGTACCTAGAAGGAACAAAGTTAGAAATGGATATATGTTCTGTGTAAAGCCCATCTAAATCTATGGCTGATCCCTGCACTACATGTGTGTGGAAAAGCTTCTATCTAAAGGTCAAAAAAACAAAAAACAAAACACGATAAAACAAAAGCAGAGACTTGAACAACCTTTCAGTAAGCAGTCTGAACTGAATATGGAGAGGCACACCCATAATCCTAGTATGCTGGAGGCTGAGGCAAGAGGATCCCAAATTCAAGTCTGGGTTACTTAGTGAGTTCAAGGATAACCTGAATTACATAGCAAGGCCTTATCTCAAAATCAAATAAAACAAAAAAGCAATCTACACTATAAGTCCAGTGAATTTAATTACCTGGTGGCACCGTTGGTAGTCTGTGTAAATTTTAACATGTGGGGCATAGTAGGAGACCTTAAGATTATTAGGGGCATGTCCCTGAAGTGGACTATGGAACCCCAGTCTCTTCTTGCTATTTTTCTTGCTGGCCATGAGGTGAATAATTTTGCTGAATAATTTTAGTGCACTATGCATTGCTATAATATGCCATCTTACCACAAGCCCAAAACAACAGAGCCAACTTATTCTAGACTGTAACCTCCAAGACTATGACCCAAAGCAAACATTTTCTCTTAAGTTGATTATCTCAGGTATTTTTGTCACATGTGATAGTTGATTGTTTGTGTCAGCTTGAGTAACTCCAAATTTAACTAGCTCAGCATAGGTCTTAGTAAGGAAGATCTACCCTAGGGAGAACCATCACCAGAATGGTATAAAGGGAAAATGGAGAAGGAAGGATTGCTTCTGTTTTCTTTGAAGGAGGTCCAATCTTCACTTTTACCTTGGACATCATCTCTTCACTTTCAGCACACTCATCAGCTTCCAGCCCCAACCCTTCAGCCTTCCATCACAGACCATTTGGCCTCCTGATATGGACTTGAACCAGACACTACATGGATCCCCAGGGTACAGATAGATCTTTTGCACCCTACCACACCTGACTCAGTGGATGTCCATCATAAAGCAATCTGACAAATTCTTATATATTTGTATATCTTATATTACATAAGATTCTCGTCAGTGAGCACTAACTGATATATCATGGTGACAAGAAGCTGAAACACAATAAGCATTCAGTTTCTTCTATTTTTCACTTGCATAAGTAATATTAACTATAATTATCAATAAATATTTCAGAGACAAAATGACACAATAAAATTCTGAAGAATAAAATGAAATCATTAAAAAAGTAAAAATAAAATAAAATAGTTTGATGAAAATAAAATGGGTTCTGATCTAGCAAAAACTAAAATGTCTCTGAATCTGCAGATTATATTTTTCATTTAAAGTATCATAGTTTTCATCACCAAGTATTACCACTTAAACATTTTAGTAAAGTATAGTGCTCATTCAATTATTTAGTATAAATGATTTCATGCAGGATTGGTGACACTATTCCATTAGACTTTTCCTATCTCTTCTCCACTGGCATAATTTTATCCACTAACTCCCAACACCAGAGGGCAGCAGCTTTAGTAATTATTAACACTAATACAGAGAACAATCAACTAATGAAAAAATACCACTTCAATAAAAACTGTTCTAAATTTTATTAATCAATTTTTTATCATAGGGACATATTTCTATAGGTGTGAACAATAAAATAAATCATTCATAGTGTCTCTCTAAAAGGAGAGATTTTAAAAGCATATTATCTAAGGAGAGACCATGAAAATGTGAACTAAAGATATATAATAATACATTATAATATATAATAAATATAATACTAACAATTCCTTATTAATTCAATGAATCTCACAAATAAAATATGGAAGAACCAACCAAATGGTGATGTTTTATTAGTTTCTCCATATTCTTTCTGAATTTTTAAGACAGAAAACAGTTCTAGATCAAACCTCTAGCCAAAAAGACTGTCAATGACCTTGTAAAAAATTTGAAGAAACTAAACAAAAACTCTTTCAGAAATTAAAAATAAGGCAAAGATCACCAAAAGGCAAGCAGTAGTCAGCCTATTTATAGGAAAATAAGGACTTTCAAATATTAATCTTTCCCTTTCAATTATATATATGTACACACACACATACACACACACACACACACACACACACACACACACTTCTATTTGTTTGTTTGAGACAGGGTCTCACTATGTAGTACAGATTGGCCTTGAACTCATGGCCTTTCTATCTCAGCCTCCTAAGTATCGGGATTATGTGCATGCACTACCACACAAGCCCCCAGTTCTTTTATTTCTTTCTCTCTCTAATTATTTTAAGATAGTCTTGCTAAATTATCTTGGCCTGGAACTTGCATTTCTCTTGCTTCCACCTCTTGAGTAGCTGGGTTTACATGTATATGCTGTTGTACTCAGTTCAGACTTACCTTTTAAAGAAGTTTTAGATTTATAGAAAACCAAGCAGATAGTACAGGTTGTTCTCATATAATATATCCCCTTTCAGTTTCCTCTGTTTATTAACATTTTATATTTTTAATATATTTGTTACAACATTATTATACACAGTTCATAGATTACATTAAGACTTACTCTTTACCTTGTACAGTTCTGTGGTTTGTTTTGTTTTTGCAGTACTGGGATTAATAATCCTTGGTCTTTGGACAGAACTACATCCCAGCCCTTTCTTATTTTGAGTTAGGGTCTTGCTAAGTCACTAAACTGCCCAGGCTGGACATGAATTTGTGATCCTGTTGCCTGAGTTTCCCAGAGTGATGGATAACAGGTGTGTACCACCATGCCTGGCTAAGTTATGTGGGTTTTCATATATGTATAAGGACACCTGTCCACTACTATTTTATCATACAGACTAATTTAGCACCCCTAAAATTTCCTTGTGCTCCAACTACTCATCCTTCCCTTCTGCTCCCCCCTCTTCCTAGTAACTACAGTTTTCATCTTTTGCAGTGATCACATGCAATTGGAATCATATAATATGTAGCCTTTTCATAGCAGCATCTTTCAATAAGAGATCACATTCGACGTTTTTCCATGTCTTTTCATGGCTTCATATCTCATTTATTTTTATTACTGGATAATACTCCATTATATAGGAATACCATGTATTTATCCATTCACCTTATGAAGAATTACTTGCCTCTGGTTTTGTGAACATTTTTAATTTTAAAAATAGAAAAACTTTAATTCAAGATAAAAGATTTTGAAACACATACCTCTTCTCCATTCTGAGAACTTACTACAATCACAGTAAACTTATAAATAGACCAAACCCACAATGCAAAACTAGAGGAAGGGTCAGTGTGTAATTAGAATGGATGTGATTTCAGAAAATACTTGAAAGTACCATGAAACAAGGCATACTAAATAATACCCAAAATAGATGAATACTATCTATATTTTGTTGTTAATATACTAAGAACTAAATCTTACCTACAATATACATAAAACATGAGAATATTTTTCCAAGTGAAACAAACCAATCACTAAAGGCAAAGACTGTATGATTACTTCAGAGGTACCTAGAATATAATCAAATTTGTACAAACAGAAAGTAGAATCATGGTTTCCAGGAGGAAAGGGGAAGTTGTTTAATGGGTACAGAGTTTCAATTTAGCACAATGAAAAAATTATACAGATCAATTATACAATGTGAATACAGGTAAAAATGCTAATAGACTACATTTAAAATTGGCCAAAATCTAGAGGTGGGTAAAGCAGTGAATCTCTA